GCTAAAAACATAGGCAGTAAGCAGGGAGTGGAAGGGAGGAGCGTGGCAAGAATTTTACCGGAAATACGTCATTAATGACCGTGGCATATAGACTATTGTAATGAGAATTTTGAGCAAACTTTTTAAAATGTTGCAAAAAAAAGAAAAAAAAAAGAAATGCAAATTAGTTGTGTTCATCTACTGGTTTGGAGTGAATCAACCAGGCTACGCAAAGTGTAATTTCATCAAATGTTGACATTACACAGGTCTGTAATAAACAGGAAGTAGAGGCTGYAAACTAGCAGGGAAACACATCTCTGGACAATAGAGAGAAGTTTTCAGGATTATGTTGCTGCTGGGCAAATTGTAATTGTTCTGTCATATCAACAAATATTGGCCTGCCATGTCTCCGTACCACAGTTCACACCAGCACCATGGCCCACCAGTCTCACTCAAGCTTCATCGTTTTCCCCTCATTCTCCATCCAGCCGCTTCCATACATTATCACCAACTCCTCGTCCCCTTTTCCATCAGACAGCGCTCATACTTGGAGATTCTGTCATCACACACTGCATCCACAGTCCCCATCATCCTTGCAAAACTCCCCAGCCTGCTCCTCAYGCTCCCACCGTCTGTCCATAGCATAATAATCCATGCAGGCTGTGTAGATGCTTCCGTCGCCACCCTGAAATCACAAAAGTTGAGTTCAAAAAATGTTCAGCCCCAACTTTAGACTTTTTTTGAGTGGCTGTACCATACATGCTCCTATCCATCAAGGTTATAATAGTCACACATTCCTGCAGATTTTTTTTATTGCTGTTGACTAAAGCTTACAAATTTAAACCAACAGAGAACTAAATAGTGATTCTTTACCCAGCATCAGTTAATATTTGATTCAGACACTCAACACTGTGATTTAGATGAAGTCAAACAGGTACTTGTGGTCATCACAAAAAAGAATCAATCCTACCAGTCATGTCGCCCAAACCAGTGGACTATGTCACAACCCTGATTGTATTCAGGACAAAAAAAGAACAAGCTGACACTCATGATTGCAGAGTGTAAGTCAGACTCSATTATGTTGCTGTTTACGGGTCAGGACACAAACACATAATGGTTCAAAATGCTTGCTGACCCTTCTCGGAGTCTGAGGAGACGAATGTGAGGTTGTCCTTTTGGGTCCACGYATCAGAGGATCGGTTCTGTTGCTCTGCTTGGCCCCTTCCTCAAAGGAATGCTCTCATCTCCTGGTGAATGTCATCCCAAATCAAATATTTAGCACTGAACTTTAGATTTCATAACCTGTATTATGTCAAGGTTTTGCCACAGGGGATTACTRTGGTGTCGTGTCTTATTCCATCAGACAGAAACTTATTTAAACCTTATTGAGAAAACAATGGAAACATCCAGCAGACAAATGTTCAGGGAAAACAGGAGGTATCCTCAGGAGGCCTTAGTGGCTAATGTGAGATTAGAAACTGGCTCAGGTTTCAGAAGAAAGTATATCATTCCACAGAACCAATTTMTTTATCCAACAGTGAGAAGAATCTCCGAGTTTTGAGCAGCGAGAGAAATTATTTGCAGTCAAATCACAACGTAAAAGGCAAACTGAGCCTGAGAACCGTTTTAGTCCACAAAAAACATGATGATAAACGTATTTGATGTTTCCGATTGTGCTGGAAAGAAGGTTCACAACGCCTTATGAAAAATTATTTGTGTTCATTTTTAAACCCGTCCATCYGGCCGTTTTCTTCCAWTTATYYGKGGTCGGGTCGCGGGGGCAGCAGCCTAAGCAGAGAGAYCCAGACTTCCCTCTCCCCAGCCACTTGGGCCAGCTCGTCCGGGGGAACCCCAAGGCGTTCCCAGGCCAGCTGAGAAACATAGTCCCTCCAGTGTGTCCTGGGTCTTCCTCTGGGCCTCCTCCCAGTGGGACATGCCCAGAACACCTCACCAGGGAGGCGTCCAGGAGACATCCTAACCAGATGAGCCACCTCAACTGGCTCCTCTCGACGTGGAGGAGCAGCGGCTCTACTCTGRGTCCCTCCTGGATGACTGAGCTTCTCACCCTATCTCTAAGGGAGAGCCCAGACACCCTGCGAAGGAAACTCATTTCAGCTGCTTGTATCCGTGATCTCGTTCTTTCGGTCACTACCCAAAGCTTGTGACCATAGATGAGAGTAAGAAAGTAGACCGACTGGTAAATCAAGAGCTTTGCCTTCTGGCTCAGCTCTYGCTTCACCACRACAGACCGGTACAGCGCCCACAACACTGAGACGCAGCACCAATCCGCCTGTCGATCTCCCACTCCATTCTGCCCTCATTTGTGAACAAGACCCCGAGATACTTAAACTCCTCCACTTTTAAATTTTAAACCCATCGCAACAAAATAAGAAAATTTGCTTTTACTGTTTATGTAATGTTTTAGGTAAGAAGCTGTTGGGTCAGAGGAAATTACTTTTGGCTGTGATACATACAAAAAAAACAGAAGTATTTAAATTTCCAAAGACGTTTACCTGTTTTTCAGGGTGTGACGCAGAAATACAAGAAGYGGTGAAACAAATATCAAGCAGCTAAAAGTGTGAGTTAGACTCAGAGGAGGATTCCAAAGGTCAACAGCTCAGCACGCTTCCTGTCGTGACCTCATTCTCATCTCTTCACATCTAAGACATGGCTTTTGTGTATTCTGCATCTCTTAGGACGACGATGACAACAACGTTCACCTTTTGCTCCAAACAGCCTGAAATATCCCAATGATTTGAACTTGTAAAGGACATGTTTTTCAGAGCTTCTGTATTTTGAGTGTGTTTTTCTGTCATGGAATAACTTATAGTTCCGTTTTATTGTCTGATCTGACCTTATCCCTTCAAAGACTCAGAATAGATAAGTATATTTTATAAACTGTAGATTAATGCTGTTTAATTACTATATGTCAAAAATGCACACACGTACTCTACAATGTTGTTTTAGGCAAGTAAATTATAAATTTTATTATTTCGATTTTTTTTGTTTGTTTAATCAGTGTATTACAAAGAGGAAATACTTGTTTAGTGGATTTAGATTTGTAAGGGTCAGGCTGCGGTCTTGTAATCTTCAGGTTGCGTCAGAAAGGACATCTGGTGTAAAACAATTGCCAAATCCTTCGTGCGATCTTTGCATGTCATAGACTACAGAGAAGGGTGCAGCTGAAAGGAAACCACAGATTATTAGGGGTCATTTTTCAACTTGTTTAATCACATTTGAATTAAATGAAACTACTTTAGACTCAGTCTGCATGATGGACAGGAGTCCTTTCTTTAAGTAAATTATGATAATATATCTGCCTCCTACCAATACTGTAATGAGCAAATCAAAATAAATCAATTTTATTGAAAGTTTGCAAGTTTAAACTACATCTTAGACAACACAAAAAATGAAAAATACATTTACATAAAAATTTAACACTAACCAATAAAAACAGAATTAAAAGTTTGACTAAAAGTCAGGCAATAAAAGCTCAATTTAAGAAGAATATATTAACTTATGTCCTCCTAAAGTGCACGATCTAAAAACCTTTTCAAGCTTTTTGCGAAGTGTTGATCAAACTGAGCACATAAGAGTGCATCATGTGGACTGACAGCTTGTTTTTACTGCCACCTACTGTTGAACTTCAAGCTTAGACTGACTGTGCACCAACTTTTAAGAGAGCATACATWAAAAAAAACACGTGAATTATTTTAGAACCAGGGTTTTTTATTAACTAGAATCTAAGATGAATTATCATTACGTAGAAAATCTTGGTAAGACTCAGAAACAGGCCATGAATCAAGCTAAATTCAAAAGGTGTTGCATAAAATCAACTTCTGGTAGAATGGAGAGAAAATGATGAAGATAAGAGTTCATCAACATGTCGGGTGACAGACATGATGGGTGGTTCTGTGAACTCTGCAGTAAACAGGATGAGCTGTAATTTTTTTCTCTTTTTTTTGGCACAATTCCATGAAAGAAGAGGAAGTCTCTATTCCTTCACACACTTCAGCGTCACGTTTCTTTCTGCCACACCATGAGGACTTCAAGGATATTTATTTACTTCTTTCACGGTAAAGACTTATTTTATTTCCTAAAGCCGTGCAATGCCTCAAATGTTTGAGCGTCACAGGTGTTTCTGTGTGTTTTCAGCTCCAGCTCTCTGTCTCGTGTGGCTTATAAAGCACAGGGTGGACTCAGCTCAACTGACTGCTCCTAAGAAGATAAACGCATCGCTCAGTGGCTCTGTGACAGTCTCCTGTTGGTACGATCCTCAGTTCCGAGAAAACTCCAAGTACTGGTGCAGAGGCCCTGTTTATGGACTGTGTGATATAGTGGTGAAGACCCCCAGGAACCGAAAGAGTGACAGAGTCTTCATCACTGATGATAAGGAGGCAGGAGTCTTCAATGTAACCATGACTTTGCTCAAAGAAAACGACGCAGGTATGTACTGGTGTGTCATCGCCACGAGCGGCCGGAACGTCYACACAGGTGTCAGCCTCCAGGTCTCCCTCTCAGGTATACCCAAACTCATATCAGCTCTAATACATTGCATGAAAYCTTTTTTTTACAATACTGACATGTAAAGGGAGATGTATTATTTCAAGAAATGCTTGTTTCAGTTACAAATATGAGTTTGAGAGGACAAGCTTCAGTGAGATGAGTAAAGACTGTTCAGTTCTCAGTAATATCAGCTGTAAAGTTAAAAAATAATAAGTATGCATCAGATGGTGATTCCCAATTTCCWCATGACAACATTTTTCAAACAGGCTAAATATGACAACATCTGTATAAAACTCCAGAATTTTCTGTAATGACTTTTAGGGTTTTGTATGTTATCCTCCATCCAGCCACCGCTTTGAAAACCTGGAGACGCCCAAGACCAACATGGAATGCTGCCGTCTTAAAATAGCTCAAATCCCAAAAAATGTCATAGCATTTCACACAAACTTTTTATCCTAAGGTTTACACTGCTGTCAATTTTTCAGTTTCTGTTTTTTTTTTCAAGTGAATACAGCGGGTAAAATAAGT